CCAGGGCCACCTCCCACGGCACTTTGCCCATTTTCTTATTAATTCTTCACATGAGAAACACTGCTTAGAGGAACTACTTCATTTCTATTGGCACACTTCATTTCTTTACTTCTGCCTCTGTGTCTTTCCTCCTTCCTCTGCCTATTATGTCTTCAGTGATCTCTTAAAGGGAAAAATCCATTAAATGACAGATTAACTCATGTTGTAAGTGACCTGAGGATCATCTTGTCTGACTCTCCTGCTTGAGGCAGGATGACCTAGATGAGGTATCTCAAAGGCTCCCCTCAGCTTGCCCTCATCTACAAAGAAGCTGCTCCACCCTATCATACAAGGAGATAATAAAGATGTCAAACAGCACTAGCCCAAGTGCTGATCACAGTGGAAAGCCAAAAGTGACAGACTGCCAGGAGAACTCCATACCACTGATGTCATCTGAGACTAGCTCTAAAAAGCAGGTTATGAAAGCAAAGAGCACGAGTGTCAGTGTCACTGCAGGAGAGCTCCAGTGAAATCACAGAAGAGGTGGTCCACATCAACGGGGCCACAGAACTGTGTCTGGGACAAGAATGAAGTGATTACTGTAGATGAGAATGATTCCCCAACAATGGTGTAGCTGCTTCTGGAGAGAGACCCTCCAGTTCATGAGTCTGGTGAAGTGGGTGGCACATAGCCCAGTACTGATCGTAGGATGTGGCCGCCAGCAGGAAAAAACACCTGCAAAAGGTGCAGAAAATAGTACTAACACTGCTGTGAGCAGAGATGGGACTGTGCCCAGTCAGGAAGTAGGCCAGCAGCTGGGGCATGGTGGTGGAGCTGTAGCAAGTGTTTAACTCTTCCACCTCCAGCAAAACGATGAGGACGCTCCCAACTGCAATGCTGGGGCAGGGCATGAGAAAAAGGTCAAAGGGATTTGTCTAAGAGTTGGAGACATTCGCAATTTGCACTAAGGAAAACTCCACAGGTGATGTCTGATAGTTCCATTGGCCTTTTTTCACAGAAGGTTTTAGGTCCTTTTGTCCCCTCTCTCCTTATAGGATACCTCCAGGGAAGAACATTCGTTTCTTTGTGAGTTGCTTAAAGACATTGTGAAGGAAGTTCAGAGAGATGAAACATGGAGGTGTGTCTGCCTCCGAGTGACTTCCAACACCCTGGATGTGCTCCGTCTCTCTTGAAAGGTGAGAAAGGCCATCTTCTAAAGAGCATTGTCACTCCTGCTTGCAGAACCCCTTCTGACTGCACAGGTGAGATGCCCCACAGTCATGCTTCTTTCATGGTGTGTAATGAAAGGGACAGGCCAGAAAGCCAAGGGGGCAGACAGGAGCATTTCCAATGAACCTGTCAAAAGGGGGTGAGAGAAAATTCACTGGGAGGGTGGATGTTGTTCCTGGAGTCCCACACAGAAGTGTCAGGGCTCTGTCAGGTGTCCACCCCTGAGCTGCCCTCATCTCGCACACAGGACTGTTCAGAGACACGAGCCCTTCCCTTGCACACACACAGATGGTGCACTGCAGCAGCCAGTGTCTCCCTGGCCTCCTGCTGCCACTCCCAGGGCTGGGAGGCACCTCAGCCCTGCGGTGTGTCACCCTGCCCTGAGCTTGTCTGAGATGCCCCACAGCATGAGAAGTGGACGCAGGGTTGAAGGAAGCACATCCCAGTGCTGCATTCAGGTGGTTTCCCAGTAGATGTTACTCTGAATGTGAAGTGACCTCCAGACACTGTCAGTCTCACCCACAGACCTTCGCAGCAATGCTGGGAACGGCCGATGGCATTCAGTCCTCACTTGGGTTCATCTCATCACGTACACTACGATGTGCATACTTCAGTCTCATCTGCACAATGCAACCATGGACGTCTGACTGAGTCATTCGGTGTCCCTCCATGGATGACAAACAACCTCTCCAAGCTGAGGTGAGAGGCCAGTGCGGGAAATGGTGGTTGTTATTGGATGGTCTGTGCCCACTTCCCCCTGGTGCCCAGCCAACATGGGCACAGACCAGACCCTGCTCTGCTGGTCCTTCATGTCTGTCCTGCTTTTGGCTCTGACAGAGCTAAATTTTCCTCTTAGTAGATGGTAGAGCACTATGTCTTTGGATTTAGCATGAGAACAACACTTCTGCTACGCTGATGTTTTAGTTGTTGCTAAGCAGTCAACGGGGATAGTGCAATTGCTTCTCAGGAATGAGCTTGGCATCTGTCCGTGTGTGGTGAGCAATTGTATTGTGCATCAGTTGTTTTGTACATTCTTTTATTATAATTGCTATTATTATTATCTTTTCATTTCTTTCCTGTCCTATTAAACTGTCTTTATCTCAACCTATGAGCGTTTTTTCTGATTCTTCTCCCCATCCCATTGCAGAGGATGATAAGTGAACAAACAGATACATGGTGCTTATTTTCAGCTGGTGTTAAACCACAACATCATCTCTCCCAGGAAGCGTGGCCATGAAAGGACACTGTCAGGTGTCCCCACCTTGTACACTCACATACTTTAGCTGTAGTCCTGGTTTCGGCTGGGATAGGGTTAATTTTCTTGTTAGTAGCTAGAACAGCGCTGTGTTTGGGTTTAGTGTGGGATTTGGTATGAGAAGAACGTTGATAATACACTGATGATTTTAGTCATTGCTAAGAAATCAAGGACTTTTCAAATTCCCATGCTTTGCTAGCGTGCAGGTGCACAAGGATGTGGGAGG